ATTAGGATGGTTTTCACTGGCTGTGGGGGAGAAAACCTGCAGTTCTTGGTAGCAAACAAGAAATTAGTTTTGATTAATGTTTCCCAACTCTGGTTGCAACAGTATTTAGGAACCAACAATTCTGTGTAATAACCAATACTGTAATCTGATTTAGGTTTGCCAGCAGTGCATTTTATAGGTTTGCAGATTTAATTAGTCTTTGGTTAGTTCATGAAAGTAAATAGCACATGAACATTACAAATGCTGTGTCAGTAATCTGTTAAAATTATTAGTGATTTTAATACCAGAGGGTTCCTGCAGTTCCTGGTGATCATATGTCTGGTGTCATCTGGATGAGAAAAATTCATACCGGCATGACTAAACTGATGTAGCGGCTTTGGTTCTGACCCTATATATCTTGTGCATTGTCATACAATAAGGCTTTCACTGGTGAAACTGAGGCTTTGTGTGCACTGGCATTGATTGGAGTTCTGAGCTGGGATACAGTTTTTGCACACAAGCCCTAAACTGAGTGTGCTGAATTTTTAAACGTGATTTGCAACCTGTGCCTTCCTCCCTCTAAGCAGATCAGCCAGCTCCAGTTAGATCATCTTGTCAGCTGCTAACAAGAGTGGTGCTGTAGAGCATGATTGCCGTTTTGTGATGTGACTTCTGGTGCTGCACATTTTGTGATAAATCTGCTATGTTTTTTAACAAATTAAGCAACAGCTCACTAAATTACCCAGACAAAAAAAAAAAAAAAAAGTCTGAATGTTAAGTAAGTCATACTGGATCCTGCTGTATAGGTATGTATGTAATTCAGGTGTGAGATCAGAGGGTGTTCTGAATACTTTCGGGCTTCGTGCCAGAAGCCACATTCAGAAACAAACTAGTGACTGTTGAGGGAAGAACCAGCTTATGGTCTTCAAAGATCAGTTCATTCAGCCTGGTGAAGAGGTCTGATCACTATACTCTTAGAAGAGGTTACTCACTTAAAAACAGAAGGAAAACAGTGTTTTCGCTGGTCTTTTATAACGAGGTAACTTGTCCTAGTTTAAAACTGCCTTGGAACCGGGACCTAGCCCAAGTGCCGCAAGATCCGCTCTGCCAGGGCCCACAGGAGCATCAGCACCCCACCCTGTGCCTTGCCAGGCCAGTGAGATCACCGAAAAAATAAATAGTTCCATAAGCACTGGAACTAATGACTTCTTGTTTCATGTGGTTTAGTCTCTTGTGGTTGATTTGTCTTTGGCAAAATCAGAGGGGTGTGCTCTGCCTGAAGTTTTTTTTTTTGCAGCAGGGCTGTTTGCAAGAGTTCTCAGGAATAAAATTTTTCTGGTATCCAAAAAGATGTAAACTTGTGTTCTGCTTTCCCAGTTCAGCATTTACAAGATCTTTTCTGTTATTTATCACCTGTTTTCACAAGATCTGTAGGAACAAATTAAGACTTCTGTGTTATATTTGGCCAATAGTGGTTAATTAAATCAGATTGTTAGAAGACACGCAAACTGTGATTTCTCAAGGCAAGAAAACTAGGCTAAAAGTATTGGTGATTCTGTGTGGTTGTCATTATGGCCAAACTCACTGTAGGGCTCTTCTTAGACTACAGGTGATGCTACGGTACCACCTGAGTCCTTTTTCTTAGGTCACCTGTAAAGTTTATCTGCAATAGTTGGTGAACTTGCCTGCCGCCTTCTCAAAGCTGTAACGTGAGAAGAGTAATTTTACACACTAAATGTTCCCATGGCTTTGCAGAGAACATAACTGTTCTGCATGTTAAGGTATTTATTTCTGTTTATAGCTGAGGGCAAAGAAAAAGTACAGTATCTGATTTTTTTTTTTTTTTAAATTTTATTTTATTGTTAGCCTTACTGCTATTTTACTGGCTGGCAATATTCTGGCATATTTCTTCCTGCAGACACTCAGGCTCGCTCTGCTGGAACATGAGTAACATTCCTCATCTGCCTCAAAAATAGTAGCAATTAGAATGTCGTTTGTGATTCAATTGAAATTGAAGTTACCAGGTAGTGATGCTAGTCTTGAACTATCCAATTTAGGCTGATTCTTGCTTTGCCTCCATATATTTTACCAGAGTCAAGACATGTTATTTGCGTGCTTGCTTTGGAAATAAAATATGTGAGGAGATGGAGGCAAACTGCATTTTTTCCTTCCTTGAAGCTAGAGTGGTGCATGTTCTTCTCTCAGATGTATGTTAAAGCAAGAGGGTTGCATGCATGGCATCGGGTGGGGTGGTGGTGATAAGAGGACTGTGCTGGGGTGATGGGTCCCGTATTCTGGGAGAAGGCCGAGGTCTTCGTGTCGCTTTGGGCTGCAGCCTATCCATGGGATTCAGTCAGTTAGGGATTTTGCCCTTGGAGTCCTCTCTTCCTCCTTCCCTTTTTCTCTCTTCTCTGTATTTACCCTGGGTAGATAAACATCAGATGGGTATAAAGGGACAGTGAGAGAGGTTAAAACCCTGTCCTGCTGCCATCTACTTTCCCCTGAAGCCTGATCTGACCAGAGGATTTCATTATTTTGCAGGGCTTTTTTAACATTGCAAAGAATTCAAATTATGTTAGTGGTGGGGCAACGACACAGTTCACAGACTGTCTTAAAATAGTTTGTTTCCATGTACAAATTTGAAATTTTCTAGCATGTCAGTGAGCAGCATAAAATGTACTGAAGTTTGGTTGTTCACAGCCTGAGAGTAATTTTGTTGCTGTGTGTCACTTGATCACGCCGAAGAGATCCAGCTATTCGTGGTATTGTGCCCCACTGCCACTCTACTGAAGTAATCTTATTTGGTAGGACAGAGCAAGTGTCCAGGAGGAAGGAAAGGGTATCTGACATGATTACTCATTTATTGTATTTGTCATATTTTATTTTTAAAGCAACTCCTAATACAAGAGTGCATGCATGCCCCCAATCATGGTTGTTTTGCATCTGACCTCCTCTTATGAGAGGAAGCTGGCACTGAGTTTACGCTTGAAAACCGATGGCTTTTCCTTTTCTTTGCCATGTGAGTTTACAAACAGATCAGCTCCTGGCGTTGGCTTAGTGGGCAGTTGTGTGAGTGCCAGAATTGACTCAAAGGAAAGGCTACAGGAGTCTTTGGCTGGGGATAAGGGGAGACCTAAATCATAGCAGTCTGGACTTTGATTGTCTTGTTCTGTAATGGAATTGTGCCATTGCTGTGGTTAAGCGTGTGATACCATGCACATGTTTCGGGGGTTTTTTTGGTTTTTTTGGTTTGGTTTTTTTTTTGTTTTTTTTTGTTTTTTTTTTTTAAAAAAAGGCCTTTTTTTCACTGAAGGAAAAAAACCTCTACTCTGTAGTTTTATCGTCAAACAATTTAAATCAAAATAGTTTAGAATTTTGGAAAATTGCAAAGACAAGTCAGCATTTTTTAAAATAATGAAACATCTTGTAATATTGTGTGTAATGCTGCTTTGCAATGTTTGCCGATACTGCTAGTTGTAATAGCAACAAAGGGTCCTACTTGGCAGTGGAAAACTATTGTGCTGGAGTCTGGACTGACACAGGTACTAATCATGTAGAGATGCTTCCTGTTGAATTCAGTGATACAGCATCCAGTGGTTAAGCTGACCATCTGGATTTGTGGTTTGAAGAACATGTATACGTTATCTTATTTTTAGTTTGCATGAGCTCTGACTTCAAGCCTTACCAGTAATTTTTCCAAAGCACTAAAGTAATCAAGGCTAATTAAAGAGTTACTATGGAAACCCTGTTACTTTTTGCTACCAAAAAAAAAAAAAAATCTGTGGTTAAACCTACTTAAATAGTAAAATCAGTGGAAAATACATAAAATACATTCAGGTCTCCTATGCTAGACAAAAGTTTTGTGAACGGTGGAGAGCCTTTTCAGTGAACTTAGAAGTTGCCTTCAAGGTATGCACAAGTTAGGGGCTGGAGGGTGGTTTTTTTTTGTTTTTTTTTTTTAAAAAAAGGCCTGTTCTTCACTGAAGGAAAAAAACCTCTACTCTGTAGTTTTATCGTCAAACAATTTAAATCAAAATAGTTTAGAATTTTGGAAAATTGCAAAGACAAGTCAGCATTTTTTAAAATAATGAAACATCTTGTAATATTGTGTGTAATGCTGCTTTGCAATGTTTGCCGATACTGCTAGTTGTAATAGCAACAAAGGGTCCTACTTGGCAGTGGAAAACTATTGTGCTGGAGTCTGGACTGACACAGGTACTAATCATGTAGAGATGCTTCCTGTTGAATTCAGTGATACAGCATCCAGTGGTTAAGCTGACCATCTGGATTTGTGGTTTGAAGAACATGTATACGTTATCTTATTTTTAGTTTGCATGAGCTCTGACTTCAAGCCTTACCAGTAATTTTTCCAAAGCACTAAAGTAATCAAGGCTAATTAAAGAGTTACTATGGAAACCCTGTTACTTTTTGCTACCAAAAAAAAAAAAAAATCTGTGGTTAAACCTACTTAAATAGTAAAATCAGTGGAAAATACATAAAATACATTCAGGTCTCCTATGCTAGACAAAAGTTTTGTGAACGGTGGAGAGCCTTTTCAGTGAACTTAGAAGTTGCCTTCAAGGTATGCACAAGTTAGGGGCTGGAGGGTGGAAGGGAAGACCTCTGCTGTAGTCTCTGCCACTGATTAGGTTGACTGTCTTGCATTATGTTTGTGTTTCTGAGCCTTTGATTGTTTCATATACCTCTTAGTTTAGGGTTGCCACAGGTTTTCTCAGAAACAAATACGCATACATATACATGTATGTTTACTCTGTGTTCTCCTAGTGACACTCTGGTTATATATCATCATCTTTGTATGTTGCCGGTGCTTTGCCTGATTGGAAAGTTGCCCTTTCGGGTGTGAAAAAACTTGGGATAAATATACATGGCTGTGGCAGGAAAATACAGAAGGTTGGCTGTGGTTGGGATTTATCGATGGATTAGCTTTCTAAACAGATACTGCAATTAAAAATTCTTTATCTTAAAC